AAATCATATATCACATTAAGGTATTTTTGTGCTCTTTCTGATAAACATATTTGTTAATATAGGTAATTACGTATTTTTTTACGAAAAACCTAAAAAAAAATTCCATTGTCTAATTTGCGCAACAAGGTTCCACTTCGGCGTTTGAACGTGGTTGCGCAAATTGGACTTTTCCATCAGTTATACTTAGTTCAGAAATAAAAGACGCTGGTGCTATGCATTAATGCAACTTGGAACTCGGCCTATGTGTGTAGAAACAACAATTCAGGTACCGTCAAATTATCGGAAGTAGCCTCCCAATATATACAAGAGAGGTTATAAATTTTTGGAAATTGGGCGTAGCCTCCCACGCCCACTTATGGTTACATGTGTATTAGACTGGGTCGATTTTGTATGGGGGAAAATAGAATGCATTTGACCGTATTTTAATAGTAATATTATGATGTCTTATGGCTAAGCCAATTGTTATTGGCCACGAAAGATTAATTCCAAACGTATCTTTAGTCCGCGCAATTGAATCAAAATGTATGAATTTTGAAAATGAAACTTTGGCTAGTAATATCTATGGAATGCGTCAATTGTTTATAAACAGGACGATATAGCAAATTAAGGGCTATTAAATTTAGTACCTCACGTTCATTTGCCATTTTTCATAAAGTCTCCAATTTTTAAGATATTAAGATAAAGCTTACAAAAGCTATAATTTTCCCTTATGAATTTTCAATCCTTCATTACTTCAGCAACCAAGTGAAAAATACAAAAAAGTGAGAGAAGATTTATTTCAAACGTTTTAATGTTTTCGGATGTTTATATAATATTAAAATGGCCATGGACTTGGTCACGCCGATTTGGTCAGTTTTCAAGATCGTGGTGAATGAAGTCAAACAAGTATTGTCAAAGTTTAGGAATCGTTTGATAAGTTAATAGTAGTTTCAAGCATATAAGTATTAACAAACGCTTTCACTATTACCAAGGGATTTGAGACAAATTAGATTTTCGACCCGCCCTAATGTGTATATCTTGGTAACCACTTTTTCCTTCCAAACTTGGCACAGTTGTTGGCATTGGTACAGTATACTAAATGGCCGAAAATTTAAAAAAATCGGACAATAACCACGCCCACATCCCATATAACGGTAATTTAGAGAAATACAAAATCTTCGAAAAAACAGGAAATATTAAAGCTAATTTATTCAAAATTGATGCTTGGAACAATTCTTCACCAAGAAATACGTTTATGGTAAAATTTTGGAAAATGGGCGTGGCACCCCCCACTTATGATCACATATATGTATATCGGTAAGCGTTCTACCAATTTGTACCAAACTCGGTATTTTTATTGTGCTTACCATGTAAAAGCAAAACGTTGAAAATTATTGAAATCGGACTAAAATTACGGCCGCTTTTCATATAACGGTAAATTTCAGAAATGCTTGAAACTGCAATATTTCGATATTTAAGGACGCTAATTTACTCAAAATTGATACACCCCGGCTTACCATCCAGCGGCAGGTTTCGGAAAGGTGAAAAAACATATATTTAATACTTGCGCCGGGTATTTAATGTTCGGCTCCGCCCGAACTTAGACTTTCTTACATGTTTTCTTTAAGCTGAATAACGGTAAATTGCAAATATCTCGAAAACGTATCCATAAAAACAAAAAATTAACCCGATTTTCGTAATCACCGAGCAATTATTCATAGAAATTGGATAGTGGCGTCTGGAGAACAATAACCAAACTAAAATTTGTGATCCAGTATTATTATCAGTAGATTACGACACTTTGATGTCCGCCATCTTGTAATTAAAAACAGCTGACGGCTGTGACGTCATCCGTACCAATCGCTCGCAATAACATTACAGGATTTTCAAAATTCAAGGCTGTAAAGTCAGGAGCTGTTCCGACGGTGAAAAGCAAGCGCAGCGTAGCCGGATATTAAAGAGAAGTAACAAAAAAATGGTCGCTGACTTACTCAAAAGTCAACAACACTGAATCGGATATAGATATATATCAAGTTTTATTTATTCAATGCATTAAATAGCGAAAACTTACATATTTTATTATTTCAAGTATAGCACAAACGACCAACAACTGCTGTTTTTCGATACTTTTTTCTCATTCGCGAAATGTCGTAACCTTTATATCCTTAAACCATGCAAGTGAAGTACGATCAGGGCGCGACCGAGCGAACGCGTAATAGAGATTATGCTATAAGTACGGTGACCATTCGTACCGATTTTGGCGGGACAGTACCGATTCTGAGAAAATTGTCCAGCTGAATATTTTTGAAAAGTCGGGACGTATAAGTATCCCGATTTTTCTTATTTGTACCGATTAGTTCCGATTTTTCAGTGTTTTCCTTTTCCTTGCACTCTGGTCCAAAAACAATTTTTCGTACAAACGTGACAGCACGTTCGTTATCACAAACAACATAGAATATAAGGGAGCCATAAACATAGCCAGCATCCTTATTTTCTGTCATCTTTGGTTATGTTTTATTCTGACAAACTGTCGCTGTATGGCATTCTTCCATTACTGTCACTGTTTTTTAAGGTTTTTGTAATGATTTGTTAATTTTTTTTAATGAAACAATTTTAACTTGATTTTAGTGGAATTATGAAAAATAATACTAATTCCCTTAAAAAAAGTCATGGAAGTATAAATAGCCCCTTTCGATTATTTAATGTTTATTATTTCTTATGAAAGTGAAATACTATGTAAGCCAAAATTTCATTTTGTACAAAAATGAGCAAATTCGACAAAGTTTCATCAAAATTTTTAGCTTTTTAATTAGATTTCTACGAAGCACTCTGGGTATGCAGTTTTGTAGCCCATTCGACTCAAAGTGCAAATTTTAAATGACTAGGACCTACCGTTGATTATTACATTTTTTATTTTTTTTTGAAAGTGTTGCTCATTTTTTCTATTAAAAAAAAATGGTTGGAACGTACTTTGTATGCAAGAAAATGCGTGAACAAAAAATTTCCAAAAATCAACGGTAAGTCCAAGCTACTTCAAACGTGTCCTTTACTATACTAAAATTTAATGGTCAACATTTGTTAAAATTCGTCTAATTTTTCTTTATGTTCTACCAGTTTGAAATTTTGATTTACGTGTTTTTTAACCGACTTCCAAAAAAGGAGGAGGTTATCAGTTCGTCGGAATATTTTTTATTTATTTATTTTTTTTATGTATGTTACCGCATAACTTTGGACCACGTCAACGGATTACGATAATTCTTATTGCACGGTAGTGTCTCACAGGCGGTCCCACACTAATCGGGTCCGATCACTGGGGGTCTTTTCCCTATTTACATTCTCACCACCGTATATACATATGTGGGTACACATCTTTTCGATAATTTTTCAAGTTTGTTCCCTTTTTTTTTGTTTTAAATAAAACTGTAATAAAAGATGTTATGTCTTTTTATTTTAAAAACAAAATTGTATGTTCGGATCCGATGCTTTAGAAATGTCCCGATTTTTGCTCACTTAAATCTGGTCACTGTATCCTGTAGCTATAAGCCGCTCACCGCTCAGCCACCTTTCCTATAAACAAAATTTTCGAAAACCGTTCACGTGGTTCAAAGTTATGGTCTGCTTATGGCAACTTAACGTAACTTACGGCTCTCTCTTAAAAATTCTGTTAAATGGGTGTTGCTTATAATTGAACAGCCGAAACTTAACGTAACTTAATGCCACGTCGAAATCTATTTCATTTTGATTATCTGAGTTCTATGTTCCGGTAACATAGATGAAAAAAATAAATAAATAAAATATTGCGATGAACTGATAACCTTCCGCCATTTTTGAAGTCGGTTAACAACAATAAAAACGCCTATGATGATAAGTATAACGACATCGACAACTAATTAGAGCAAAAAGGCTATTTCCCCACCAAATATCTTTTATTTTCTTTCTTGAGCCGACTATTGTAGTATATTTGGAATGGCTTTAAGATTTGCAACTTCAAATGGTTTTGTTTACAAACAAAAAAACGGAAGCTTTGTCAGCCTAATAAACAAATACCACTACGTAGGCATGCATATGCAATTGTATAACAAAAGAGGAGGAGCCGCGAGAACACTCTGTAAAAGCACAGAGCGCTTGGTGTCTCCATAGAGAGCGACTAAGGCCACATAAATTCGACTAAAAAAAAACGCAACGATGGAGAGTGATAAGACTTTTCCGCTCATTGCCGAGGTGCTTTTCCTGCTCCCTTATCAACAATAACAATACCAAAATGTGCCAAAATCCCAAATCTGCAGGCGCTTTACGTTTTTAAGGGTAGTAAAAAAGCTTTTTCTATTTACATTAGAAGGGGCGCTGTTGCCAACAGCATATTTTGAAACAATGTCGCAAATTTTACCAATTTGATTAAATAATTCAAAATTAATAACAATTTTGTGTTTAATACTCTAATAAATTTTAAGAGTGCTCTACAATCATGCGAATTTGTGACAGTTGTTATTGCGCAAGAACAATTAAAAAATTATTGGTTTAACTAGAATTAAAATTATTAGCAACTGTCAATCAATGAGGCCCACGAACGGGCAGACTGAGTACTAATGAGGGGAGTGGCGGCGGGCGACATCGCATTCGAATACTTTAGAGAGCACTTACAATGGCTGTGTACATTTTAACGTTAGTTTTGTGGGGCAGTGAGCAACACCGTTATTTGGCATTGCCGTGGAGACGAGGCGGCTAGGGTTGTGGGCTTGTCGTTGCCGTTGCCGTTGCCGTTGCTGGGGCCGTTGCTGTTTTTATGAGATTTGCGCGCTTTTGTTATTGTAGCAATTGCTGGCACGTCCGTATGTAGTTGTTGTTTGCGGCATTTGTTGCCTGGCACTAGCCACATATGTATGTACATAAATATGTATGTTCCTTTATACATACATATGTATGTATGCAGGTACAAACATAGTTAAAACACATGCGCCGCGCAGTGGCTCTTGGCTTTTGCGGGCTTTGCCAAAAGTACTCGCACTAATTTCGATTCAGTACACTTTCACACGAGCGCGAGCGTTTTGCAGAGCGGATCATAAAATTTGCAATTTCACATTTACATATTTTCAAGAATAAAATATTTGTACATACATACATACTACATTTATGTTTATATAAACTACATGAAGTGGCTAAGGTGCGCAACAACAAATCACAATAATTAAAACCAAAAAAAGGAGGAGCTTTGAAGTATTAGAAATATTAGAGGAATATTTACATATGTACATATGCATGTACATACATATGTCGCGTATGTATGCGTACATATTTAGTGCAAATACTTCTATGAATAAGAATAAAATTAGTGAAATATAAATAAACGTGAGCAAAAATGATTCATAGCGGATTTGGTGTTTGGTGCTACTGAAAAAATATAAGAAACTGTATGTGAATATTTTATTGATTAAGTTTTCTGTGGCTCTTAACGACTGGACATTCATTTCTTTTCAGCTTTTTGACAAAATGAGCTGAAGTGTGTGCATACATACTAGAGGGCTGCATGAATTCTTTCAAAACGGCTTATGAATTATTCATATACAAAGCGAATGAATGATTTTGGTTTAAATTTTTTTTTGAATATACGTGAATACCTGTTCTGTTATATGTGTCGACATTACAATATTCTAACAAAGTAAAAATAAATTGAATTGAAGTTAATGAAAATTTTTTTTATAAATATCGAAGGAGATTTAAAAAGATTTTAGTTTGAAAATACTTTCGAAAAGGAATTTCAAAAATGAGAGCTTAAATTATCAGTTTTATTTTATTTTTTTAATTAAGAACTTTTTTCCCCGGCTTAGGGTGTTTCGAAATTTGATGAAATTAACAACCTGCACTTGGCGAGACTTCTCTTCACTCAGAAACGGCTGCACTGTTGACATATGACACTCGGATCTCTTATGACTCTAACTAACATTTGAAATATTATTCAAGTTTTTGAAATTAAATTTTGGGCGTTTTAATGCCATGCGGGTTCAGTAGTAGATATTAACATGCGTGAGGTTGAATGGCGACCTAAGGGTCTATCGTTTAGGGTTTTAGGAGTTAGGCAGTTAGATAATGCCGAAGGCATATTAGGACTGTGTTCCTATCTCATTTCCTGGAATGACATCTCATTCGATCAGAAGGTGTAGAATAACAGAAACAGCAGAGATCGTTGACCAAATGCCTAATTTATGCAAGTGACCCTTCAGCCAAAACCCGCTATGATTAGATGTATAGTTTGGTATTTTTGGTGGTGTTAATTGCCAGGCCCTAACCAAATAAAGTCGTTTACTATCTACAAAAATGCTATCGCTATATGGCGTTAGAGTAGATTTATTTAATGAATTTCATTAGAGATAAAACAAAAAAATAAAATAAAAAAATAAAATATAATATACCATATATAAGTGATAACGATCTGAAGAGGATAAAAAGAGCGATGATTTTATTTTAATATACAACACTGTATTATGAAATATGTAAATATACATACATACATACATACATATGTATATAGAAATACATTCTCATAACAATGCAAAAATACATATGTATGTATGCCCTCAAAATACCTATAGACCTAAATAACAAATGTGCATACAGCTTGTGTGAAGAATTTTAGCGATTATTTTAATTATTATTTTACGATAATTGAGGCAATTGTAGCGAAGTAAATTAAATCACGCGCGGATGACATATGTATATACATATGTACTTACATATATGTATGTATATATACATAACGGGTGATTTTTTAAGAGCTTGATAACTTTTTTTTTAAAAAAAACGCATAAAATTTGCAAAATCTCATCGGTTCTTTATTTGAAACGTTAGATTGGTCCATGACATTTACTTTTTGAAGATAATTTCATTTAAATGTTGACCGCGGCTGCGTCTTAGGTGGTCCATTCGGAAAGTCCAATTTTGGGCAACTTTTTCGAGCATTTCGGCCGGAATAGCCCGAATTTCTTCGGAAATGTTGTCTTCCAAAGCTGGAATAGTTGCTGGCTTATTTCTGTAGACTTTAGACTTGACGTAGCCCCACAAAAAATAGTCTAAAGGCGTCAAATCGCATGATCTTGGTGGCCAACTTACCGGTCCATTTCTTGAGATGAATTGTTCTCTGAAGTTTTCCCTCAAAATGGCCATAGAATCGCGAGCTGTGTGGCATGTAGCGCCATCTTGTTGAAACCACATGTCAACCAAGTTCAGTTCTTCCATTTTTGGCAACAAAAAGTTTGTTAGCATCGAACGATAGCGATCGCCATTCACCGTAACGTTGCGTCCAACAGCATCTTTGAAAAAATACGGTCCAATGATTCCACCAGCGTACAAACCACACCAAACAGTGCATTTTTCGGGATGCATGGGCAGTTCTTGAACGGCTTCTGGTTGCTCTTCACTCCAAATGCGGCAATTTTGCTTATTTACGAAGCCATTCAACCAGAAATGAGCCTCATCGCTGAACAAAATTTGTCGATAACACACATTTCGAACCGAACACTGATTTTGGTAATAAAATTCAATGATTTGCAAGCGTTGCTCGTTAGTAAGTCTATTCATGATGAAATTTCAAAGCATACTGAGCATCTTTCTCTTTGACACCATGTCTGAAATCCCACGTGATCTGTCAAATACTAATGCATGAAAATCCTAACCTCAAAAAAATCACCCGTTACATAGATACGTATGCACACATGTATCATTAATGAATACCTTTTTCTGTATATATATACGTATTTAAAAAATAAAGTCCGCTCCCGTTGCAAAAATAACTCAAGTAATCGCATTCACCAACTAAATTATTCAACAACAAATCTGCGGTGGTGGTGGTGGTGGTGGCGGCAGTTTGACTATAGCTATTTTCGACGCAGCGAATTGATTCTTAAAAAGCAATGAACTGAAACTACATAAAGATGTCATCAAGCATTTCCGATGCCTGAACGCAGTGACGCTAAATTAACAGCGTCTAAAAAACAGCAGCCAATTAAAGACGTCAAGTCGAATTCAATAAAAGTGATTTATTTATTTTTTTAGTGTTTTCGCCGATATTCTAAGCAAAACATTCCCAACCACATTACTTATTACATACATATATGTATGTATATATTAACAATGACAATGTTATAAATAAATATAAGCAAATGCCCCCACCTTACTCTTGTCTATAAAACCACCGTAAATATTTTTGGCCGATCACAAAGGCCAAAAGAAAATGCGTGAACAAGCGAAAGTTGTTCTAAAATAAAACATTTTTCAAAAGCTGCAATATCTACATACAAACAAAAAAATTATGAGTTGGACACGAAAATTGTGCACTCCAACAACCGTTTTTTGTTCGTTTGTTCGTTTGTTTGTTTGTTTTAATGTTAATGAATGAATGAATTGGTGAATGCGCAGCTGCTGACAAACTTGCTCATAAGTGTACATACATACCACCAAGGTGTATATAAGTAAGAAATTACACCAACAAATTATTTGCAGATATCCGTACTGTCATTGGTATGAGTTACAACAAACACATCATTTTGACGCAATGCCCTCCACGGCGAAAAAATTAGCTGTCGCCCCGACACCACCTTGTTAAATACACCTTGGCAGCCACAGTAGCGCGCGGCCACGGTTTGTTAGGCTGCCTGGCTGGAGGGCTGGATGGCTGGTTGTCGTGCACCACTACTGGACGACAGTAAGAAATCAATAAAACTTGGTTTTCATATTTTTGATGGCTGCGCTTGGTTTACATTTCTTGTGGCATTGTGTCTTCTGTGTTGCCTGTGCGCTTTGCGCTTTTACATACCCTGCAAAAAATTGTGCGACTAATCTCTATAAAGAGTATTCCGAGATTACTCTCAATCGGGTACAATTGGGCATTAATTAGTCGCAACTAGTCTCATACGGGTACTAATGGGGATCAATTAGTCTCGACTCATCCCTTACGGGTATAATTGGAGATCAATTATTCCCCGACTCATCTCTAACGGGTACTATTAACGATTTAATGATATGTACGCACTTAGTCAATGAAATTTCATGTGCGGCGTTGGCACACAGAGAGAGTATTCTCCTAACAAAACTGAGCAACCCGGTTCGAATCTGAGCTGGCGCAAATTTTTATTTTAATTTTTTTAAAGTTACTAGTCGCTATTTGTACCCGTTCGGGTATAAAGGGGAACAATTAGTCTCTTCATAGGACATTCTCGAACAAAAGCGAACAGTTCATTCCATATAAAGAGATCAAAAGTGGTATTAGTCGCATGTTCCTTTGCGATTGCTCCCGGAGTCATCCCGGATTAGTCGCATTTTTTGCAGGGTAATTTCCTTCCGCTTCCGTTGTAGTGGTGTAAAGCAGTGATTCCCAAAGTGGTCCAAGTGGACCCTCAAGGGTCCACGGGAGACTCGACGGGGGTCTACGTTGGTGTGAAAAAAATATGGGGTTGCACGAGTTGTAAGTCAGGGTCCACGAAAATTAATCTTATGGTTGCTTGGTAGCCCCTATATTTAACTTAAAGTTTTTTGAGTGGTGTATATTGCTCCTGACGCACTTCTGCACTTACCGTCACTTTATGCCCACATACGTGTGGACGCCTTAAAAGTCACCTGCAGAATAAAAAGAAACGGATGTTGGTGTAACTCTCAGTGGGGGGAGGTGGAAATCGCTGGCGGCAGAGATTTGAGCATTTGTGTCTATTCAATGCTACACGATAGTACGCCACCATACCTTTGCTGAAGAGATTCTATAATGTTGAGTTCCCCGAGGCTGAATGCTGGTTTAATTCCAGCACTGAGCCACACTGCGCACACCTTACTGATGGCTCCAAAACTGACTCTGGGTCAGGATCTTGGGTAATGGTAATAAGCAGGGAACGGATTTTTAAAAAAAGGCGAAAAAAGGCAAAATAAAATAGCGAAAAAGGCAGGAAAAGGCCCTAGGTGTTGCAAAAAAAGCAACATAAGGTACTAAAAAAGACAGAAAATACGAAGAACAATCAAAAAATACATTTATTTTAGAAATGTTTATATTACAAGTAAAAAGAGAAAAACTATGAACTAGTTTCATTATGGCTGCGTTTCTTTATACATTCCGGATAATCCCATTTCACAGCCGGAATAAAAAGAATGCGTTTGAAATATACGTTAACATATCATCAGGAACGTTCTAAAGAATAAGTAAACGAAAAAGTTTATTCCAAACGTTCAGAATGAAT